GTACTCATCATGAGTGGATATTATCTGTAAAGGATAACCTTGCTACCATCCACAGACCTAGAGAGTCTAGGTAACAAGGAGGAGAATGTGAGGGAATGGGATCTTCAGGGGGGAAGGACAGTGAGGGAGAGAAAGGAACTAGATATCTTGATTGAAGGAGCCATTAAAGGGCTATTGAGAAACATAACACTAGGGAAAATCCCAGGAATCCTCAAGGATGACCCCAGCTAAGACTCTAAGCAACAGTGGAGAGGATGCCTAAATTGACTTTCCCCTGCAATCAGACTGATGACTCCCTTAGTTGTCATCATAGAACCTTCAGCCAGCAACTGATGGAAGCACTGGGCCGAGCTACCTCAGATCAGCCAAGAGAGGAAATTCTCCAATTCTTATTAGGAAAATATGCCAGGAGTGTAATCATATATATCTGACCTTCTGTCCTTGTCAGAATTTGAAAGTTTGTTTCTTTAATCAGCTTTAAATAACAAAAGGACTTTAGAATTAACTTTATAAACGTGACAATGACAATCATAATTCTATATTCCCCTAAGTTTTGATTGGCAAACTAATAACATGCCGTTCATTATTCTTCACACAATGACATATGAATTACAGAGCAACAAGTAAATGTATGCAGATATCATGGGTGAAAAGACTCAGTATTGAAAGTAAACTCGAGAGCAAACACTGGTATAGAAGGTTGATACTGTTGGCTGAATAAATGATTAAAAGATCCAACCCAGTGCTACTAAGACAGAGAAATTATGCATTGGCTTACATGGCAGGCAGCTTTGAGTGTCTTTTTGACGGGTCATCCTGAAGTGGACCTGTGGAATTGGAAGGAGAAATCACATTTAAACTGAACTATGAGAACAACTGGACATTCTCTTGTTGATCCACCCCAGTAATTCTCTGACAAATGACTAAGTGATGGATGGGCAGGTGTGTCTTTATCTTGGAGTGCCTTTGTTTATAGTCCTTAGTATGGGAGACAGAACTGATGTAATAGATGGAGTTCTTTTGTCTGATAGTTCTCTTATTTTTGAAATATCCATGGGAGGAAGTTTTTATTGACACTAATAAATAATTTATCAGTGGTGGCCTGTGCTGTGCTGGCAGGTGGGTGTTTACTTGCATAAACAGGACATTCTACTTTGTCACTTACTCTCAAGATGTAGTAACTTGTGGCAAACTACTCCTTACAAAATCAATTCACTCAGGCATAGCATAACCTGATTGTTACTATTCTGTCCAACAGAGTGGACCAAGACAGCGCACGGGCTTTTCTCCATACATATTTAAAGACATTCTACAAAATCCAACTTTGATAGTAAAAAATTACAAATGGATCATGTGGAAGTAGGATTGATAGAAATGTTAGTTTCAGTGATGCCATTTATATATTTTTTAAGTTACAAAAAAGTGGGAAAATATTACCCAAAATAAATCCCTAAGAAGTCAAACATAGTTTAGTGTTGTATCTTTTATGACGTGCATTTCTGATAAATATAGCACGTTTACAGCAAAGGAATAAACAAGTTTTAAAATCAGTTTCTTATATTTTTCACTTATTTAAACTTTACAAAATTCAAATTTTACTTTTAGAAGTGTCAAAACATGCACTTTTCGAAATAGGAACAAATAAATGTAAATATCAATCACATCTTAGGAAGAGGAAAAATTTAATAGTTAAAAGAGAAAACAATTAACCTAGAAACTACGTAGAAATTTCCTTCATAGCCTCCCCATAAGGAGGAATGGGAAACGAGACATGGATGTATATCTGTCAATGTAGTAATGAGAACATAAGCAGTCCAAACTGACATTAGCACTCTGGGAAAGCATAGTAAATCTCATTTCCTCATATTGTATCTTCTTCAAATATATTTTAAGAACTCTCAACCATTAGTCAGGGGTTTTCCCCATAGCTTATTTTTTATTTTGTTCTTCTTCTTCTCTTTTTGTTATTAGTACTTAAGTGTTTTTATTCCCAGTGTATTAAATGGCTTTGTGGATTCCATTCCTTACGGTAGGGATACCTTGCTCAGCCTAGATATAGGGGGCAGAGCCTTGGTCTTGCCTCAGTGTGATATGCCAGACTTTGTTGACAACCCATAGGAGTCCTTACCTCTTTAAGGAGCAAATGGTGGTGGGGAGGGTGAAGGAGGTGGAGCAGGGAGAAGGGAATGAAGGAGAACTGGAATTGGTATGCAAAATAGAGAAAATGGCTGTAAAAATAAAATTAATTTATTTTTTATAAATGTGTGTAAATAAACTATATAAAAATGTATACCTGAATGTATGTGTGTGCATCAATTAGGTGTTAGATAGAGTCCATTTGTTCAGAATATGATATTGGATATCCTGAAAGTGGAGTTACTGGTGAGTGTGAACTGCCATGTATGTACAAGAAACTGAATCTGGGTCCTCTGCAAGAGTAGTAAACGCTTCTAAGTTTTTTCTCCAGCTCCAAGAAACATACAAATAAAAATATATGCATTTGACACTTATAAAGGCTTCTGGTAAAAAAAAAGGATATAATCTGCGTGTGTGAATGTTTCTCTGTACCTTTCTGAATGAAAAAAAGAAGTATTTTAAGCTATGTTATGCTCTCTCACCACCTTTTCCTGTAGAAAGTTTCTGCTCGTTTTATACCAATTTCTTTCTATTTTCCCTTTTATTTAGTTACTAGAACTCTTATGTTTTCATTATCTATATAATATATCCTTAAATTATTCTTAAAGTCTAGTGCTCAATTTTTAGTGTTTGTTCTAGTACAAGTTTAGGCAAGTATAAGTAATTAGGGTAGTACCACAGATATTTTAGAATAATTTTTTAACCATTTGTTTCATACAATTATTCATTTGAAAATTTACTATTTAAGCATATGCCACTTGTCTATATTTACCTCTCATCTTCTATAGATGTTAAATAAGAACGAATGTATGTGACTTCAAATAACAACCAGACAGAAAATAAGACAGAATGGTGTATTCCATTGTGTTATAGTTACTATGGCTTCGTAATGTTGTAATATAATTTCAGATACTGTATTGTGATGCCAAAAGTGATGCTCTTTCCTTGGAAGCTTTTGTGATTGCCTGAAATTCTATATGAATTTTAGGATTTATTTTCTAGTTGTTGAATAATATCATTAAACTTGTAATGAGTATTGTATTCCTTCTGTAGATCACTTTCTATAATGCATTATTTCTACAGTATTAATTATGTCAATCCATGAATTTCTTAGTTAGGGTTCCTAGTAATGTGGTGAAACACCACAACCAAAACAACTGGGGTGGAAAGGGTTTATTTAGTTTACAGTTCTATATGACAGCACATCATAGACAGAGTCAGAGCAGGTACTTACTCTCCATGGCTTTCTTAGCCTGGTTCTTATAGAAGTATAAGGAATTAGGGTACTATCAGTCCAAATATGGCAATGGCACACCCACAATGGACTGGGCTCTCCCACATAAGTGACACACATATGTAGCTATGGTATCAGGATGGCAATATCTCCATAGAATGAGTTTGCAGTGATTAACAATTAATTATAAATGAATAATTAATAAAATATCCTACAAAAAGAATGCTGTATTAATGATAGATTTATCAATGTTGAAAGTTTATAATTTTTTGAAACTTGAGCTAGAGATATATCTCAATGCTTGATTGCTTTGTTAGCAAACAAAAAGTCCCAGATTTATCTTCAGGACAAAAAAAAAGTTTGATAAAAAATGATAATTATATTGATTTTTTATAGCAGTGTGGAAATCACTGAATTAAATTATGCTAAAATTTCTTTTATTGTTAATGTTTTACGACACTTGGATTTATTATACTTTTGTCATCATACAACCCATGAGAAATTAATGCTATGAGAACATGATGTGAATTAAATTGATTACTGGAACAACATATCTTTATTAATCTGTAAGAAAGTATTATGTTTTAGTAAAAAAAGAAAAAAAAGAAAAAGTCCTGAAAGCTGTCAATGACTTGAAAATGTCAGACTTGATTTTCATGTTATCTAACATCAAAAATGGAATTCTTAAAAGTCTCATTGTCATGAAAGGAAAGTAAAGAAAATGTTCATTTTTAACATGTGCAGTTCTGGAGACCTTTAAGTAAAATTTTTTTTTTTACATTTAATTGTCAGCATCACATATTAATTCTTGGATGTGTACATAATCATATAAATGCAGAAGAATTAAATCCTCTCTAGTCATAATACATTTCTCTATCTAAGACTGAAGAGTAATGTAACAGAAGCATGTAATCTCACTTTGAGTGAACATTTTAACCAAGTAAATGGATTACAATGTTCACTTTCAATACCTTCCAATTTTTTTTATATTCCAAGGTATTTTCAACAACAAAAATTGATCTGATTTTATCATAGCAACTATTAAAGGACAAGGTAGGAAGAGGTATGTCATTCTGGAGTTGGACGGTTTGGCTCAGAATTATGACTCCAATATTTCCTGTTATATGAGTTTGAACCAATCTCACCACCACCTTAACCCATAACTTTCTTTTCTCATTCTAAGTGTACTGATGACTACAATTCCCCTTTTCAGGTGTATGAGGAAACATGTCACTAAACATTAAGTGTTTATCTTAGAAGTTTTGTCGTTTTTAAAAAAGTCACATTTAACAACAGTTTTATTATTTGATAAATGAGCACAGTGCAAATCCTATGAATTTGGTATTTTCTTCAAGCATCACATTGTGGGTGATGAACTCAGACCTAACAATAGGCATCTGATCCAGTGAGTTTGTTCCCATTATGGTCTTATCTATTTTATTGATTCAGGTTTTCTCACTAATTAGAGACAAGATAAGCTGATCTTTAAAATTGTTTTATAGACTAGTACCCTTGTAATTTACATAAATGACTCAGAAGAAAATTGGAAAGTAGGAGGAAAGGTTGCATACTGAGAAAACAAACTGGTGAGTTATGTTGCAATAGAAGAGGTGGCAAAGCAGCACCTGAGGGAAGGCAGTGGCTTGTTAAGGACACCAGGGTGGTGGTGTCCAGTCCACCATCAGTCACCTTGGAGATCAGATCACCACGCTGACAGAAATCATATTTGGAGAATTATATAAGGTTTTCAAGAGTGAATGTTGAAAGGATGAGATTAGAGAAAATTATAAAACTCTAAATCTTGTCTTTTTTCATTTTTTTCAGCTGAAGAGAAACTGAAACCAAAACTTTGAAATTTCTCTTGATTTATAAACTGGCAAACACTTAACGGTAGATTTGAATGATTTTATTTATACAAGTTACTGTGGTAAGTAATTTTAAAACTACATGCATTTTTTTAACGTTTTACCTGTTTGTACTTAAGTAAATGTTGTTTGTTTCATTATTTAATGGTTTCACCGTCATTTTTAGGTTTAAAGGTTTCATGGTCTTTTATCAGTTTGTTGACAGATCATGTTTGAATGCCCAGCAGCACAGAATGTACTGTTTGTGTTGGAAACACTCCAGAGCCTTGGTTCCAAACTTACCTTTAATTCTAGAGTACTGGCCTTCATATGCAACTTCTGCTACTCAAAGTTTATATGTTTCTGTTAGGTGGTATTGATGGATAAATGCTTACTGAGTTGAGACAGAATCCAATGTACAATTCAGAGAAATAATGAATGATTTTAAGTAAAGCAGCCATAACCTGAATAATTTTTATGTAAATATCTCCCTAACATTTTCAAATGTTAAAAACTGGAAAAATAAACCATGGACACTTTCAACACTTAGAGATAGTGTCAGTGAGTTATAGATGATAAAATTACATATGAAGATTAAAGAAACTCTAATATTTTAATGACCCTGAAACTAAATTGTTCACTATAAATGTATTTTACTATGAGACTTCTAGGCTACTAACTACTCATGGCAAGAATAGGTAAGCTGCCTCTTGTTGTTCATCATTAATTCATTTTCATAATGTCTTAGTGTGCCATCAATTTAGGAAGAATCCAATATGAATAATTTTGCAAGCAACTGATATTTACATATGCAGACAGGGAAATATAGAAATATAAATACAAATTAGAGTTTGCTACTTTTTTACTAGTTAGACCAAGTTTCTTCTAATTATAAGACTTTATCCATAAATACAGTTTAAGCTAAATTCCAAAATTTAAGTTTGATTCATTAAGAGGAATTCTGAATTTATAATACAGTCCTTCCTCTTTAATATTTATACTGAAATAATAAGACACTCATTTTATAAGACTGATTTGAAATATACATTTGATAATATTATGTTTAATTTTCAGTTAGGTATTTTATTTTTTAAAACAATCTTCCTTTAGTTTACATATCCATCCCAGTTCCCTCTCCCTCCTCTCCTCTCACTCCTCCCACGTTTTTCCCCAGCCAATATCCACTCCTCAGAGAGGGTGAGGCCTCCTAAAGGGAGTCAATAAAGTCTGTCACATAACTTGAGGCAGATCAAGGTGTGTTGCCTCCCCTGTCTAGACTAAACAAGGTATCCCTCCATAGGCAATGGGCTTCAAAATGTCTCTTCATGCCCTAGGATTAAATATTGGTTCCATTGTCAATGGCCTTAAACTGCCCAAGCCACACATCAGTTATCATTTCTTAATGTTAGCTATTATTTTTATTTTTTGTACATATTTTAACTTGCTTTAGGCATATTTAAGAAATATTACACTATTCAAATAATTACTAAACTAGTGTTGTCAGCATTTCCACCTCATAATTTTTTTAGAAACCTGTAATTTCTGCCCACAGTACATAGGTGATTTATCTTTCACAATAGCCTATCGAATACCTTATTAGTCACTACAGGAAATGAGATGAAAGGCTCCACAAGAACTTATGTTGTCGACCAAGAAACATTAAATAATCTGATTTCCTAAGTATGCACTGTGTATGTGTATTGAATACTGCAAAGTAGCTATAAATATTGTACATGCTTCTTGAAAAGAATTGTTTTCTTGTTTAGATGATATCAAATTCAAATGTTCATATATTTATAAATGTATATATAAATTTGAACTCAAAACCACATAATACTAGGCAATGGACTATGTCCTTAGCTCTATTTGACATTATTAGTATTTAAAATTTCTTACTTATATACAAGGCATTGTGAACAGATTCCCTTTTATCTTCTCTAAGTCCTCTACCCACAGTTTTAATGCCTTTTGTAACTAGTCCAACTTCTTTTTTTTTTTATTCCTCTGTGCAAGTCTTGGGCATGTGCTCAAATTTGCTATGCGTTTACACTTGCAAAATCATGTTTAATCCATAAGGCAAGATATTACAGTGCTTAATTCTGCCCTCCAGATCTTAGATTTTCCTTTTTAAATTTTTTTATACAGAAAACAAACTATATTTTTTATTTTACATACCAATCCCAGTTCCCACTCCCACACCTCCTTCCATTCCCTCCACTTCCCTCTACCCCACCTTCCATTAGAGAGGGTAAGAAACATGATTTGGGGAATGTCCAGGACCTTCCCTGCTATATCTTCCCTGAGCAAGATATTCCTCCAGAGAGAATGTGTTTCCACAAAGCTAGTACAAGCTGTAGGGATGAATCCTGCCTGGTGCTACTGCAAGTGGCCCCACAGTCTGCCCAGCCATACAACTGTCACCCACATTCAGAGGGTCTAGGTTGGTCCTATGTTGGTTCCTTCGCTGTCTGGCTGGAGTAGGTGAGCTCTCATTAGCTCACATAAATTGTTTCAGTGAGTGTACCAATCATGTAAACTGTTTCAGTGGATGAATCCCTCATGGTCTTGAGCTCTTTGCTCATGTTCTCACTCCTTTCACTCTTCAACTGGACATGGGGAGCTCAGATCAGTGCTCTGCTGTGGGTCTGTGCCTTTGTTTCCATCACTTGTTGGAAGAAGGTTCTATGCTGACATTTAAGATATTCATCAATCTGACTACAGAGCAAGGCCAGTTCGGGCACCCTCTTCACTATTGCTTAGAGGCTTAAGTGGGGTCATCCTTGTGGACTCCTGAGAATTTCCCTAGTGTAAGTTTTCTTACTATTCCCACAATCAAAATATCTCTTTCATTGCTATCATCTCTGCCCTTCCTCCACCTCTACTATCCCATTCACTCAAGTTCTCCTACCCCATCCTTCTCCCCTTCTCCTCCTGTTCAGTCTTCCCTTCTCTCCTTACCCCTATGATTGATCAGTTAAAGAAAACATTAAAACCAACAAATTCTTAGATTTTTTTTTGAAAATTCACAATTATTTTATATGCTTGGCTGCTTCGCTTGCATGCTCATCTTTGCAACATGTACATGAAGTACACTCAGAGGCTAGAAAAGGAAGTTGTATCTTCCGGAACTGGAGTTGCAGAGAGTTGGGAATTTCTTGTCGGTGCTGAGAATCAAACACAGGTCCTCTGGAAGAGCAGAAGACACTAGTAATGTCTGCAACATCAGTCCAGTCCCAAGCTCTTACTATATTTCCATACCCTCTTCTATGATGTTTTCTGGGTTTCATTGTGGATAATATAGAATTGGGCTGGACTCAGTCCTTTGAAGAGTTACGAATCATTGCTTTGACTGTCACCCATTGCTTAAGAGTTCTTTGTCTAAGGCTGAGACATATATCAATCTTTAGTGGTAAACATAATTATGTAGAAAGGAATTCAACTGCCTGATTATTTAACAAAACATGGGTAATAGCTGCTATCATAGGACTCATGATCTCCCAGGCCACAAATACAATACTGTGTTTTGGTTTTGAATGGGAAAAGAAAGTTTTCTTTCGGTAGGATGCTCCTTTTCCAATTTTAATCCTCCTGAGCCATGAGCATGGTGTTCTTTCCATCTCTTGATATCTTCTTCACTTTCTTTTTTCAAGGACTTTAAGTTTTTGTTGTACAAATCTTTCACTTGCTTGGCTACAGTTACCTCCAAGATGTTTTGTATTGTTGGAGGCTGTTGTGAAAGTTTTTCCCTGATTTTTTTCTCAGTCTGTTTGTTGTTTGTGAAAAGGAGGGCAGTCATTTTTAAGTCTTGTTTCCAGTCACTTCACTGATTATGTTTATCAGATTTAGGAGTTCCTTGCTGGAATTTTTGGAGTCATTTTTATATACTCTGATATAATCTCCAAATCTTCATTAGTTTTTTTACTGCTTTCGTTAGAACTTCAAATACTATATTGAATAGATATGGAGAGAGTGTACAACTTTTCATGTTCTTGATTTTAGTGGAGATACTGTGAATTTCTCTCCATTTAATTTGATTAAACAAGTAATTACTACCAATGGGTATTGTACTGTAAAGTAGAACTTCAGAAATTTTGCTGAAATAAAAATACACTGACTTTCACTTAGACATATTATCAAATTCTGCCATTGTCAATTATTATATAAGCCAAATTGACTTAGTTACCCTGATTCTGTGTTTATGTTTTTGTATAGATTGTAAGCCTTAGAATTGACTCTAATAAATATTTTCTGGTATAGCATTCATTTGTGAAAATGAAGAACTTAATGTATGTCTATTACAGCGATTTACAGAGAACATAAGAGAATTAACTGATCATGTCTGAAGTTAATCTTTAATGCAGTTTGGGACAGAAAGGGGAATGTGTAAATATTAATATATTTATAATAAAAATCAAATAATTCAAGAATATATTCCCCAAACTTGTCACACATAAAACATTTGCTAATTTTACCTGAGAATATAAATGTAGACTAAAACCAAAATATTTTTCAGTTGCTAATGCACCATTTTCCTAAGGGTAGTGGGTCATAGGAAAAGCATGGATTATCATGGAATTGTGGAATTGCCTGTGAAATATGAAAAAGTATAGTTTTGATAAAGGTAGTGTTCATGCAGTTTGTTGGGGGAAGGAGCAAATAAGAACATCAGTATTGACAAAGGAAAATTAAACCTGTATCAGTCTTGTTATTCTTCTCAGGTCTGATACGTTCTCTTTTATTCTCCTTAATAAGTGATAGTACCTTCAAAAACCTAGATGTTTAGAATTTTTCTTTTTCTTGTTATTTGGCTCTTGTGGACCATATTTTTAGTAATACTTTACAGTTTATAAGTAACTAGTACACGAATATTGATTCATGTTAGCTTTTATTTCATTGTACTCTTTCCCCTTTCCTTTCTATTTTTTTAATTTTCAGGAATAAAGTGGTTGTTAGAAAAAACACTAACAACATCATAGCAAAATGAAATTCCTCCTACTGTTTTCCTTCATTGTGTTCTGCTGGGCTCAATATGAGCCACACACTGAAAATGGACGAACCTCTATTGTCCACCTGTTCGAGTGGCGTTGGGCGGATATTGCAAAGGAATGTGAGAGATACTTAGCTCCTAATGGATTTGGAGGGGTGCAGGTAATATTGATTCAAGATTTAAATGTGGAGTTCACTATGTTTATATAAAATTGTTTTTTCTTATGTTTTTGATTATTTTTAAACAATGTTTTACTTCACACATACTTTTTGAGGAAGAAAAAGTTTAGGGGATGGTAACTTTGTATCTTGTTTTAGGACACCAGGGGGCCCTCTACATTGTGCTGTTGATGATTTTAGTGGTTCTAACACAGCAGATATACCAGGACACACCAAAGAATTGCAGAATCATTCATAGTTTTCTACAGGATTTATTTATGAAAAGTAAGCCATAATTAATATGATAATCTTAACTTTTTATTTGTAGGTATCTCCACCTAATGAACATCTTGTGGTTAACAATCCTTCAAGACCTTGGTGGGAAAGATACCAACCAATTAGCTACAAAATATGTTCAAGGTCTGGAAATGAAGATGAATTCAAGGACATGGTGAATAGGTGCAACAATGTTAGTGTAAGTTAAGTCATATTTCCTTTGAAGTTATTATCTGAAAAACCATTATATGTCTTACGTTTTCTAGTCTTCTTGAAAATAAACTTTTAGACTTTAATTTTTTCTTTACATTTTAGCTACAACTCAAAATTAACTTCTGCTTTATGGTCAGTTTTGAAAAATTCTTTCATATGAACCATTTAATGAGAAGTTTATGGGGGTGGTAATTTGGTATCTTGTTTTATGAAATCAGGAGGCCCTCTCCATTGTAATGTCAACATTTTAATGGCTCTAACAAACCATAAATAAAACTTTGATTATTTATTTGTATAACCACACTCATTTTCTACAAACAAGTATTAGAGATTTCAAATGCAATAACTTATTTTCAGTTTATGGTAAATAGTTATTAGTCATTTTAATAATGACCAGTATCTACCATTCTTTTTCCTCTGAGAGTAAAACTAACTTCCATTAACTCCTTTCAATATCAATAATGTTCATTTTTTCTTAACCTAATTATATATTTTTTAAAAAAATAATGCTTTTCATTTGATTTTAGTGGTAACAGTTTCTGGTTTTCCACTTATCAGCTTTAGAAATCCTCAAGCTAATATTAGGACTGTTTATGATTGCCATTTCACATTGGTTTTCTTTCACTTTTGACTTTTTTCTTTTATAAAATTAAACAATAAAATAGCATATCTATCATCTATCTATCTACTTTTCTGTCTATCTATCTGTTTGTCTGTCTATCTAGCTATCCAACCATCCACATATCTATAAATTTGGGTATTCTGTTTAGTCTAATTATGTACATTTCGTCTTTCTACTTTAATTTGAATAACATATTTTTCTGTTCAGGTTCGTATTTATGTGGATGCTGTCATTAATCACATGTGTGGAGAAGGGGTTCAAGCAGGAACCAGCAGTACCTGTGGAAGTTATTTCAACCCACAAACCAGGGACTTCTCTGGAGTTCCATACTCTAGTTGGGATTTTAATGATGGCAAATGTAGAAGTGGAAGTGGGGCCATTGAAAACTACAATGATGCTGCTCAGGTGAGGAAAATGATCAGAATAAAAATTCTGACCTCAGTATGCACATAGAACTTTTTAAATACTATATGAAATGTATTTTAGATTCCTTAAGCATATCACTAGGCATTAGAAATGCAAATAAATCTTCAAAAACATTCTTTTAGTTATTTGATGTCTCAAAGTTTGATTCTTACCCCGCATTAAGAGAAAAAAATAAAGAAAGAATGAAAAATATAGAGGAAACACGACATTTTCCTCAATCAACTCTAATATTACCTATGTCATTTCTTCATAGTTCAGTCTTCAAAGTGGAAAATATTCTTTTTTTCTTTTTTCTCTTTCATTTTATTTATTTGTTTATGAAAATTTCCACTTCCTCTCCTCCTCCCCATACCATCCCATTCCCCCCACTACCCCCCCCTCCTCCTCCCACTCCAGTTCTAAGAGCAGTCAGGGTTTCCTGCCCTATGGGAAGTTCAAGTTCCTCCCGCCTCTCTCCAGGTCTAGGAAGGTGAGCATCAAAACAGATCAGGATCCCAAAAAGTCAGTACATGCAGAGGAAACAAGACCCAGTGTCATTGTCAATGACTTCTCAGTCAGCCCCCATGTCAGACACATTCAGAGACTCCGGTTTGATCACATGCTCATTCAGTACCAGTCCAGCTGGCCTTGGTGAGCTCTTATTAGATCAGTCACCTTGTATCAGTGGGTGAATGCACCTCTCGTGGTCCTGGTTTCCTTTTTTCATGTTCTTCTTTCTTCTGATCCTCATTTGGACGGTGGGGGCTCAGTCCAGTGCTCCAATGTGGGTCTCCGTCTGCATCGCCATCCATCGTGGGATGAAGGTTCCCTGCGGTCCTGCCTTTGTTGCTCATGATTTCCCTGCTTCTGCTTCTCATTTGGAACTAGGGAGTTAAGTCCAGTGTTCCAGTGTGTGTCTCTGTCTCTATCTCCATCCATCGCCAGATGAGTGTTCTATGGTGATATGCAAAATATTCATCAGTATGGTTATGGGCCAAGGCCAGTTCAGGCACCCTCTCCTCTGCTGCTCAGGGAACAAACTGGGGACCTCTTCTTGGACCTGAGAACCCCTCCAGAATCAAGTCTCTTGCAAACCGTAAAATGTCTACCTTAGTTGAGATATATACTTCCCTGCTCCCATATCCATCCTTCCTCCCCCCATCTCAGTCCCCCAAGCCATCCCCAATCCCCCCCCTCTCCCTTCTCTCTAACAATCTCCCCATACTTCCAGCACCCCCCCCCCAGCACCCAATTTTTCCTGGCAATCTTGTCTACTTCCAATATCCAGGAGGATAACTATATGATTTTCGTCAGGTTCACCTTCTTATTTAGCTTCTCTAGGATCACGAATTATAGGCTCAAAGACCTTTAATTAAGGCTAGAATCCACTTATGAGTGAGTACATACCATATTCCTCTTTTTGGGTCTGGGTTACCTCACTCAGAAAAGCGTTTTCAATTTCTATCCATTTGCATGCAAAATTCAAGATGTCATTGTTGTTTTATCGCTGAGTAAAACTCTAATGTGTATATGTTCCACGCCTTCTTTAACCATTCTTCCATTGAGGGGCACCTAGGTTGTTTCCATGTTCTGGCTATTACAAATAGTGCAGCTATGAACATAGTTGAACAAATGCTTTTGTAGTATGATAGGGAATCTCTTGGGTATATTCCCAAGAATGGAATTGCTGGGTCCTGAGGTAGGTTGACTCCCAGTTTCCTGAGAAACCGCCACACTGATTTCCACAGTGGCTGCACAAGTTTGCATTCCCACCAACAATGGATGAGTGTTCCCCTCACTCCACATCCTGTCCAGCATAGGTTATCATTGGTGTTTTTGAGTTTGGCTATTCTGACAGGTGTAAGATGGTATCTCAAAGTGGTTTTGATTTGCATTTCCCTGATCGCTAAGGAGGTTGAACATGACCTTAAGTGTCTTTTGGCCATTCGAAGTTCATCTGTTGTGAATTCTCTGTTCTGTTCAGTACCCCATTTTTTAATTGGGTTAATTAGAGTTTTAGTGTCTAGTTTCTTTAGTTCTTTGTATATTTTGGAGATCAGACCTTTGTCTGATGAGGGGTTGGTGAAGATATTCTCCCAGTCCGAAGGTAGCCTTTTGGTCTTACTGACAGTGTCCTTTGCTTTACAGAAGCTTCTCAGTTTCAGTAGGTCCCATTTATTCATTGATTCTCTTATTGTCTGTGCTACTGGGGCTCTACTTAGGAAGTGGTCTCCTGTGCCCATATCTTGTAGACTACTTCCCACTTTCTCTTCTATCAGGTTCAAAGTGGTCAGATTGATGTTGATGTCTTTAATTTGTTTGGACTTGAGTTTGGTGCATGGTGATAGATATGGATCTACTTTCATTCTTCTACAGGTTGACATCCAGTTATGCCAGCCCATTTGTTAAAGATGCTTTCCTTCTTCCATTGTATGCGTTTAGCTCCCTTGTCAAAAATCAGGTGTTCATAGGTTTGTGGGTTAATATCCGGGTCTTCTATTCGATTCCATAGGTCGACTTCTCTGTTCTTATGTCAATGCCAAGCTGTTTTCAATACTGTAGCTCTGTAATAGAGTTTGAAGTCAGGGATGGTAATGCCTCCAGAAGTTCCTTTATTGTATAAGATTGTTTTGGCTATCCTGGGTTTTTTGTTTTTCCATATAAACTTGATTATTCTCTCAAGGTCTGTGAAGAAGTTTGATGGGATTTTGATGGGGATTACATTGAATTTATAGATTGCTTTTGGTAGAATTGACATTTTTACTATGTTGATCCTCCCAGTCCAAGAGTAGGGGAGGTCTTTCCATTTTCTGGTATCGTCCTCAATTCCTTTCTTCAAAGACTTAAAGTTCTTGTCAAATATGTCTTTCACTTCCTTGGTTAGAGTTATTCGATGATATTTTATGCTATTTGTGGCTATCGTGAAAGGTGATGTTTCTCTGATTTCCCTCTCTGCTTCTTTATCCTTTGTGTATAGGAGGGCAACTGATTTTTCGGAGTTGATCTTGTATCCTGCCAAATTACTAAAGATGTTTATCAGCTGTAGGAATTCTTTGGTAGAGTTTTCGGGGTCGCTTATGTACACTATCATATCGCCTGCTAATAACGAAAGTTTAACTCCATCCTTTGCAATTTGAATCCCCTTGATCCCCTTATGTTGTCTTATTGCTATTGCTAGAACTTCAAGCACTATATTGAAGAGGTATGGAAAGAGTGGACAGCCTTGTCATGTTCCTGATTTTAGTGGAATGGCTTAGAGTTTCCCTTCAGTTTGATGTTAGCTGTTGGCTTGCTGTATTTTGCTTTTATTATATTTAGGTATGATCCTTGTATCCCCAGTCTCTCCAACACCTTTATGATAAAGGGGTGTTGAATTTTGTCAAATGCTTTTTCAGCATCCTATGAAATGATCATACGGTTTTTTCTTTCAGTTTATTTATATGATGAATTACATTGATAGATCTGCGTATGTTGAACCAGCCCTGCATCTCTGGAATGAAGCCCACTTGATCATATTGGATGATTTTTCTAATGTGTTCTTGGATTCGGTTTGCCAGTATTTTATTGAGAATTTTTGCGTCGATGTTCATGAGTGTGATTGGCCTGTAATTCTCTGTCTTGGTTGTATCTTTGTGTGGTTTTGGTATCAGTGCAACTGTAGCTTCACAAAATGAGTTTGGCAATGATTCTTCTGTTTCTATATTGTGAAATACATTAAGGAGTGTAGGTATTAGCTCTTCCTGGAAGTTCTGGTAGAATTCTGCATTGAAACCATCTGGTTCTGGGCTTTTTTTGGTAGGGAGATTTTTGATAACAGCTTCTAATTCTTCACTATGGACAGGTCTATTTAGATTGTTCACCTGGTCTTTGTTCAACTTTGGTATATGGTACTTATCTAAAAAAATGTCCATTTCTTTTACATTTTCTGCTTTTTTGGCATACAGGTTTTTGTAGTAAGATCTAATGAGTCTCTGAATTTCTTCTGTGTCTGTTGTTATGTCCCCCTTTTCATATTTGATCTTATTAATTTGCATGTTCTTTCTCTGCCGTTTGATTAGTTTGGATAGGGGTTTGTCAATCTTATTTATTTTCTCCAAGAACCAGCTTTTTGATTCATTGATTCTTTGGATTGTTTTCTGTGTTTCTGTTTTGTTGATTTCAGCCCTCAGCTTAATTATTTCCAGTCTTCTACTCCTCCTGGGTGAATCAGCTTCTTTTTTTCTAGAGCTTTAAAGTGTGCTCTTAAGTTTCCTATGTGTGCTTTCTCCATTTTCTTTAATTGGGCACTTAGTGCTATGAACTTTCCTCTTAGCACTGCTTTCATAGTGTCCCATAGGTTTGATTATGTTTTGTCTTTATTTTCATTAAATTCAAGGAAGACTTTAATTTCTTTCTGTATTTCTTCCTTGACCCAGGGGTGATTTAATAGTTGACTGCTCCACTTCTGTGAATTTGTTTGCTTCCTGGGGGTAACATTGTTGTTGAATTCTATCTTTAATCCATGGTGGTCTGACAAGACACAGGTGGTTACTAATATTTTTTTGTATCTGTGGATATTTCCTTTGTTACCCAGTAAGTGGTCAATTTTCGAGAAGGATCCATGAGCTGCAGAGAAGGTATATTCTTTCTTATTTGGGTGGAATGTTCTATAGATGTCTGTTAAGTCCATTTGATTCAATACCTCCAATAATTCTCTTATTTCTCTGTTAGGTTTTTGTCTGATTGACCTGTCCATTGGTGAGAGGGGTGTGTTGAAGTCTCCTACTATTAGTATCTGTGGTTTGATTACTACCTTGAGTTCTAGAAGTGTTTCTTTTACGTAAGTGTGGGCCTTTATGTTAGGGACATAGATATTCAGGGTTGAGACTTCCTCCTGATGAATTGTTCCTGTTATGAGTATGAAATGTCCATCTCCATCTCTTCTGATTGATTTTAGTTTGAAGTCAATATTGTTAGATATTAGAATGGTCACACCTGCTTGTTTCTTAGGACCATTTTCTTGGAAAACCTTTTCCCAACCCTTTACTCTGAGTAGGTGTCTGTCTTTGTGGTTGAGGTGTGTTTCTTGTATACAGCAGAATGTTGGATCCTCTTTTCATATCCAATCTCTAAGTCTGTGCCTTTTTATAGGTGAATTGAGTCCATTGATAATAAGTGATAATAATGACTAGTGGTTGTAGACTCCGGTTATGTATTTATTTTTTTGGGGGGGTAGTAGAATGTGTTTGTTTCCTTTTCCTGAGTTTTGTTTGTGAAGGGTCGCTAGATGTCTGAGTTATTGAAGGTGGTTTTGGGAATGTTGGATTCCTTGGGTTGTGATTTTCCTTCTAATACTCTCTGTAAGGCTGGATTTGTAGCTACATATTTTTTAAATTTGTTTTTATCGTGCAATTTTTTTTTCTCCGTCGATAGTGAATGATAGCTTGGCTGGGTATAGTAGTCTGGGCTTGCATCCATGGTCTCTTAGTTTCTGCAGTACCTCTATCCAGGACCTTCTGGCTTTCATGGTTTCCATAGAGAAATCCAGTGTAAGTCTGATAGGTTTACCTTTATAAGTTACTTGATCTTTTTCCTTTGCAGCTCTTAATTCTCTTTCTTTAATCTGAATGTTTTGTGTTTTGATTATTATATGGCGAGGGTTTTTTTTTTTTGATCCAGTCTATTCAGTGTTCTGTATGCTTCTTGAACCTTCATAGGGATATCTTTCTTTAGGTTAGGGAAGTTTTCTTCTATAATTTTGTTGAATATATTTACTGAACCTTTGTTCTGCAATTCTTCTCCTTCTTCTACCCCTATTATTCTTAGATTTTTTTTTATTATGTCCCACATTTCCTAAATGTTTTGTGATGAGAATTTTGGATTTGCTGTTTTCTTTGGTCAGAGCGTTTATTTTCTCTATGGTGTCTTCAGAGTTTGAGATTCGTTCTTCTATCTCTTGTATTCTGTTGGATATGCTTGTTACTGAAGTCTCTGTTCGTTTACCTAGACTTTCCATAGCCAGCCGGCCCTCGATTTTATTTTCTTCATTGCCTCCATTTCAGTTTTTAAATCTTGAACTGTTTCTATTATCTGTTTGATTATTTTTTCTTGGTTTCCCAGAATTTCATTTACAGAATTGCTCATTTCTTCAAACTTTTTGTTATAATTCTCTTCCATTTCTTTACTCATTTCCTCAATCTTTTTGTTATACTTATCTTCCATTTCTTTACGGCAGATTTTCACCTCCAATTTAAGTTCCTCTATTATTTTCATAAAGATCTGCTTAGAGTTGATTTCTTCCATTTCTTATGGAGTAGGGTGTTCAATTCTTCTAGTTTCGTGATCCCTGGATTTTGGTGATTTCATGTTGCCTTTCAGGTTGTTGGAGGAATTCTTGCATTGGCGCCTGCCCATCTCCTCCTCTCTGGATGAAATTCCTCAGCACTCTCTGGATAGAACTCCCCAACACTGAAACAGGGACAGCTGGTATTCCAAGGACTCCGGAAAATATTCTTAAGGTGTATTTGTAGTAGAATGTGAATGTTCCCTATGTCCTATGAATAGGCTTTATGAAGCTTCCTAATAGACCAATTGGTGAATATGTGACTAGTCAAAGGGAGTCTGACGTGAAAGGTGACATTTGAATCAATCACCATTTTGCTTAGCTTGTTTATTTGTTTCTTTCAATAGGTCAGAGATTGTCGTCTGGTTGGCCTTCTGGATCTTGCACTTGAGAAAGTTTATGTTCGTACCAAGGTGGCTGACTATATGAACCATCTCATTGACATGGGTGTGGCAGGGTTCAGACTTGATGCTGCTAAGCACATGTGGCCTGGAGATATAAAGGCAGCTTTGGACAAACTTCATAACTTAAATACAAAATGGTTCTCTCAAGGAAGCAGACCTTTCATTTTTCAAGAGGTAAAGTAATACGCTATGTATACATAAATGACATCAGTTTTGCTAGCCAGAAGATGAATGGAAGATTTTATTAAACATAATTTTAATAGGTTAATATCTGAATACTTTGTTAAATGTGCAATTTCTTTAACTCCCTTTTATTTAGATATAATAGACTTTATTCTTTTCTAGAATAATGGTTTAAAGGAGTGTAGAGTATTTGTTTAGCCTGTGATACTATTGGGCCAATTAGTGTATACTCAGGGATGATTATGCCAGGCAGAAAATATTAGTCATTGACTCGAGGCTGCTTTTCTACATTTGACTCTTATCTGAGGAATTATTAAATGTGTAAAATTTGGGCAAGCTGATTAATATTTTTGTGCATATTTTTCATATGAAGAGGTTAGTATTGTTTTGTATTTGATTTCTTTGGAAAACTAAATGAATATTGATTGCTGAACTTATCTTTCAGTAAGTACTTTGAAGATATGAATTTCTGAATTTTAAATTATATATTATATTTAAATATTCTTTATTGGACAAAAATGACATTGCAAGCAAATTTCTTTCAATAGTGATGCATTTTTAAAATTTATTTATTAAAAATTTCCATCTCCTCCCCTCCTCCCATTTCCCTCCCACTTCCTCTACTCCCCCTCCCCCTTCCTGTCCAGTCCTAAGAGCAGACAGTGTTCCCTGCCCTGTGGGAAGTCCAAGATCCTCCATCATCCATCAAGGTCTAGGAAGTTGAGCATCCAAACAGACTAGCCTCCTACAAAGCTTCCCACAAAGCATGCAGTAGAATCAAAACCCAGTGTCATTGTCCTTGGCTTCTCAGTCAGCCCTCATTGTCAGCCACATTCAGTGAGTCCAGTTTGATCACATGCTCCATCAGTCCCAGTCCAGCTGGCCTTGGTGAGCTCCTATTAGATCAGTCCCACCGTCTCAGTGGGTGGACGCACCCTTCGCGGTCCTGACTTACTTGTTCATGTTCTCCCTCCTTGTGGTCCTCATTTGGACCTTGGGAGCTCAGTTCAGTGCTCTGTGTGGGTCTCTGTCTCTATCTTGACAAAGAAATAGGAAGAACCAACTTGAGCATCAATAGCCTAAATAATTTAAAAGATACTATTTTGACACTGAACATTTTAATACTACTTTATTCAAATGACAGTTTTCCCTATATCTGTACAGGTAATTGATCTGGGTGGTGAGGCACTTACAAGCAGTGAGTACTTTGGAAATGGCCGTGTGACAGAATTCAAGTATGGAACAAAACTGGGCACAGTTATGCGCAAGTGGAATGGAGAAAAGATGGCCTATTTAAAGTAAATACATTATACTTTGTTATTTTGTCTGTCATATATGTGTTGTTACCCCAATGCATGATCATAGTCTAATTTATTAAATATTTATCAAGAATTAGCTACCACAAAGGTTCACTGCTGTCTAAATCACAATTAGTCATCTAGAATTAATTATTTTCATTTTAACTGTCAATAACACGGAGTCATCTAGAAATACAAAATATCACCTAAAGACATTTTTTCTGTCTGAGATATGAGCCAACTAGAGTTTGGTAATTATAATCTGCTAAAGTCAAGATATTACTTTAAAAATCCTTCTACTCATAAATAAAACTATGATGTAAACATACTGTTACACTTAAATATTGCAATAAATTAATCTGAATGTTAAATTATTTAATGTTAAACTATGTATACAATACAGTGTAATATTCAGTCTTTTTTATTTATTTCTCATTTTTTCATAATGTGTTAAGGATATTTACCCTTCATGAGTTTATCTACATTACACACTTTACTAGCGATGTGAAAGAAATACAAATAAACTTACCATATGTAGAATCACGGGATATGTTAGTCAATTACATATGTGTATATACACACACTTGGAAGAATTTTTTTCCTGGTGAATAATTTTTTAGTTATAAAATTAATAGTTTAATGCAAATAGATTGCAAAAAGAGATACAGATTTTAGGTAACCTAAAGAATCAATAGTTTAATGCAAATAGATTACAAAAAGAGATACAGATTTAAGGTAACCTAAAGGTATTGTAAAAAAAATAATACATGCATATTTTTTAAAAATAGGAACTGGGGCGAAGGTTGGGGTTTCATGCCTTCTGATAGAGCCCTTGTCTTTGTGGACAACCATGATAATCAGCGAGGTCATGGAGCTGGAGGAGCATCCATCCTGACCTTCTGGGATGCTAGGTAGGCAAAACCATTTTTTGCTGTTTTGTTACTTGTCGTTTATGGATGATAAATTTTCTATTCTTCTATTATAATATTTTATTGTAATTTTCAGACTCTATAAAATGGCAATTGGATTTATGTTGGCTCATCCTTATGGATTCACACGAATAATGTCAAGTTACCATTGGCCAAGATATTTTGAGAATGGAAAAGTACGTTTAAATATATTTTTTCAATAAAAGGGAAGAGGTTATAATTTCACACAAAATTAGTTGCATAAAATACATTCCAAAAATTTCAATATACTGTAATTTTAGTAATGTAAGTATATTGTAAAATTACCATCTACTTTATCACTATAGAAAACATTAAAAACAAGAGATCAAGGTACAAAAGGTAAAACATAGGAATTTAATAGTACTTACTTTGTCAATGATATATAGAGATTGTGCATAGTAACACCTGAAAAGAAGATCAACAATTCATTTAATGTTGGACTAGAGTTCTGCCTTATCCCTGGGGGGCACCTACCAGGGCTGAAGGAGTACCAGAAGAAACTACCAGAAAGAACAGCAAGAGACTTTTGGAGGACAACTCTTTTAATAGGAGAGGGCAGGGAACAGTTATACCCCAGAAATAAAGCTGGTTGGACCCCTGTGGTGGTATGTTACTGGTTGGGGGCCAGAACAATCAGTGTACTTCATTGCATACACGGGAGCAGCAAGGGCCAGAGCAAGAAACCTTATAAGGTCATATAGAAAAAAAATAAATTCCAGCCTGGAATGTTTTTCTATTCAGATATACAGCAACAAATCCTCATAGCCTTGAAGAAACATGAGCTTATCAGTTGCTACAACCACCAGGGTAAAATAGCACCCTGGGATGTCTATCTGTTGGGGTTTGTTGGTGCAGAGCAAGGCAGGGGATGTGGGATATGGGTGAAGCATATGGAGCGGGGAGCAGTCAAACTCCTGCTGCTCTCAATTGAGAAAATCTGGGAAATTTGGCATGCTTCTACCCCTTCTTAGTTTCAGGCCAAATCTGCCGTTTAAAACTTGAGCAAGATAAATATTTGGTAAATACTTTTAGAATATTTTGATGGAAAGAAAGAAATCAGTTGGTTTAATTGAGGTTAACTAATATATGTAAATATATATATGAATTATGTTAAATGAATCAAATAAATTTGAAGACTCATTCAAGAATACTAAGCATTACGAAAATATCATGCAATATTTTAACTGAAGCATTCAAAGAGGAACTAAATGCCTGGGGAAATGAATTAGAGGGTAAAGCTCTTGGAGAAAGTACAGAAGTTCAGTTACCTGGCATGTTGCAATGTCGGGCAGTTTTGGTCTCATCTGGAACACAACTACCCAACAGATAGGGACCATAGAATCGTAGATCATCAAATTGGATAGATCTTGGTTTAGAAGAGGGACCTTTCCTCTATTGACAATGGAGAGACTGTTTGTTCAATTGTTCAGGAAGATGTGTAAATTTGTTGACAATCATGAAATACATATTAAAATTTTAGAAAATATATTACAGGATATTAAAATATATTTATTGGTACTTTAAAAGATGTTACAAAACCTAAACTAATATTAATTTGATAAAGAAGTCCTACAGATATTGATATTTTTGTAGTAAGCAAACAATATTTCTATTATAGATGATGAGATTCAGGGATAGAAGACTGATGTATCTTGAATGAGTTTTCTAAAGTCATTGGTACTGGATTCTGTCTTTCTTAAATCTTTCTAATACAAATGCTCTTACTACTTTAGTAGTACTAAAGAAGTAAGAGAGGTATTAAGAAGTTATTGCTTGAAAAGGCTCTGAGCAAATAAAGTGTGTGTAAATAAAAATGTCATATTTCTCTGAAATATGACTCTAGAGAAATACTCATGAGGTTCCAAAGTTAGACACAAAGTAGATACCATAAAAAATCAAGTAGCAGAACTTTTTTAGTTTAGTACAATGAAAATAGAATATGAATATTAAAATCCCACAATATTTTACTGTAATTAAGGATATCAACGATTGGGTAGGACCACCAAATGACAATGGAGCAACCAAAGAAGTGACAATTAATGCAGATACCACTTGTGGCAATGGCTGGGTCTGTGAACATCGATGGCGCCAGATAAGGTTGGAAGTGCACCCTACAGATCTTGTCTAATAAGAAAATTGTTTAACTTTGTGTTTTAAATTGTTGAATATAAAGGGCATGAGCATTTTACCTGATATTGTGCTTTTAGGAACATGGTTGCCTTCAGAAATGTAGTCAATGGTCAACCTTTCTCAAACTGGTGGGATAATGGCAGCAACCAAGTAGCTTTTGGCAGAGGAAACAAAGGATTCATTGTCTTTAATAATGATGACTGGTAAGTGGAAATCAATTAAAGTAGGGTTGTATACTTTTATACTTTTACATCCTTCCTTTTGCTTCCTGCTCTTTTGTAGCTGAAAATATTTTTGTTAATGGATTAAAGAAAGCTCAGTTACCTGAAAACTGTAGGGAAAAAAAAAGATGCTTTCTCTTAATTTGTTTCTTCATTTTTATAGATTTTGTTTTAAGTAGAATTTTGTTTTGTTGTTTTTTTGGTGTACTCTTACACAGTCATTTTCATATATTTTCATTCATATACACATGTGATATCTGTATAAAGCCTGTAAACATTCAGTAAATCTAAAAATCAGTTAATGTATAGATTCAAATAAGTTACCCCATTTCCTACCTCTGTATCACAACTATTTCTTTTCTGTTTTTTGCTATATAATCTCAAATTCTCTGCATCTGTGTGATGAATAGTTTCAATACCTTTTTATACATGCTCTGGGTGATAGTTTTTCTCAGTAGGCAATTGAGTTTTGTTCGACAGTTCTAGTTTATTGCCCTTCTGTTTTTGATGCATCCATGTTTTTTCTTCTCCTTGAACATTTTCCATTTGTATACAACTATACTTAGAGAATCTTTGTCCAAGTAGTTGACAGTATCAGTGGCAAGTTTAATTGCTTATTTGGATGATTGTATTAGCTTCTTTTCTGATGCTGTGATTAAACAGCATGAGCAAGTCAATTTACAGAAGAAAAATTTTATTTGCATTTGCAAATCCAGGGGGTTAGAAGGGAAAAGTAAGGTATGAGGGCAGGAGCAGGAAGCTGATGACTTACACTTTGAACCACAGTACAATACAGAAAACGCTAACTAGAGAAGGTAGGAGTCTTTCCCTGTCAAGGCCTGCCTTTAGAGACACAATTCCAACATCCACATTAGCTAACTTCCCCAAACTATGCCACCACATGGGAACCAAATTTTTACATTAATAAGTGCTCCTTTTACATATCTATCTATATATCATAATCTATATCTAGTTCTATATCTATCTATCTATCTATCTATCTATCTATCTATCTATCTATCTAT